CGATTTTAATTTAGGGGTGGTTGGGTTTTATTTTTCCAAGACAGCTTATGCATCCAATATATGTTACTTTCAAAGTTAGGTTTAATTGGAGTGGGGGTGATTGCTCCCGTTACTCAATCGTCTGGGTTTTCAATGACAAAAAAAAAAAAAAAATTTAAAATTGTAATTTTTTTCATCATCTTAATTCGTATTTCATAATTCATATTTTTATACACAAAGATTTTCTGAAAGAATTATTTAAATATGTGTAAGATATATTTTTATTATTTAAATTTTATTACTTATATCTTATTCCTAAAGTACCTTTCGACCTTCTAGTAACTTATAGACTATACAGTATTTTTATTATTTATTTAATGCTAAATGCAGTCATCAGGCCATGTTCGTTATGTTTTTGCTCAACTTCTTATATATACAGGTCAGTGAATCATTGTCGGTATTCTATTGAATTGTATGTACTCTGTTGTATTATCGTAATGGTTATTTTGGTGGGTGGCCATATATATATATATATATATATATATATATTTATATAAATATAAATATAGGTAGCTATACTCGTTTCGAAAAACCCTCGAATTTTTGATTCGCCAATAATCAAATCAAGCTCGAAGGAAAAAAAGGTTTTAAAAAAAGAAAGAGCTAGAAACATGAAAGTCTGTTGAAAAAAAATCGCACAGATACCGGTTCAAAGCCCGAAGAAAAAAAAAACCCGACACAAGTAAACAATTAACTAACAAAAGAGCTCAATACAACCGTAGTGCAGTCCTAGATAAACCTAGTGAGCCAGACAGACCTACCCAGGTTTCACTTAAGTTGATCGCTTAGGTTAAACCTGGCCAGATTTCCCTGACGATCCGCTTAGGTGAAACCTAGGTAGGTTTGTCTGGCTCACTAGGTTTATCTATCTATCTATCTATCTATCTATCTATCTATCTATCTATATATATATATATATATATATATATATATGCGTGCGTGTGTACCTGTGCATGTGTGTTTTGTGCTTGTTTTATGGAATAATAATAAAATTCTGTTGTTTTCATAATTTTTTTTAATGTCTTGTGGTGCAGAGTTCGGGATCAATAAAGGATTAAAATAAACGCCGATGGGAAACGAAATTTGTTTTGTTTTTTTAGTTATTTTATTCACTTATTTATTTGTTTGGATTAATTTATTTTACTTGTTTTTTTTTGTTTATTTTATTTTTTATTTATTCCGTTTATTCTTCTTCGTTTTCACTTTTCAAATTTTAAGTAAATTAATAAAATTTTAAGTAAATTAATAAAAAAATTTGTTTTCATGCCTGCATTCTGAAAAGAGTTCTGATCTTTTATTTATTCGTTTGTTTTGGTCTGGGAAGGTAATTATGGATATTTTCCCTCCAGATAGTGTTTACCTTTGTTGGAATGATTGCTGTAGGTTGTTATTTTCCTTATTTTCCATGATATTTTTGGTGTGATTCGTTTTATGTTTTTATCACCCAGACATGTTTAGAAAGTTTTGTGTGGTTATCGTATTTACTGTAAAGGATGTTTTTTGCGTAGTTTATTTGTTTCCAGGGTCTTTCAGTTACTCCTATGTATAGTTTTTCTTCCTTATCTGCTAATTTTACAGTGGCTGGGTATATCACATTGTTCTGTAAGCAAATGCCATTTACGGGTCATTCGTTCTTTATAAGCACGTTAGTTTAATTTGTTCACATGGGTTGTTGATTGTTTTCTTACTGTTCATTTTTATTATTTGTGTCATGTTCTCAGTGCGACCGTAGGTAATTTTTACTGTGTTTTTGTTGACTATCTTGTGGGGAATGCATGATGCGAGATAATGTTTGTGTCTGAGTTTAATAAATATGTTCCTGTTTGTTTTTACGTTTTCGTTCTACGGTGGGTTGAACTATATGATGTTTCTCTTCCAGTTGACATTTTTGTGCTGTGCGCGGTGTATGGGGGAGTTGCTGAGAATCCACTATCCTTTAGGGCTGTTTCATAGTCTTTCTTACCTATGTTGAATACTGATTCACTGGAAGAATTGTCAGAAAGTCTGGGGCCATATATATATATATATATATATATATATATATATATATATATATATATATATATATATGTTGTGGTAGGATCCACCTAATTTGCATAGTGGAGTACCGACTATATAAATATGGTTGGTACCGGGAAGACGAGGGAGAGAAATCAAGAGATTCAATCCAGAAACTCTGCTCGACTGCGACTAAGTCAACACATTCTCCAGGAACGGTCTTCCCAAGAATATACAAAACACTATATGTAAATATTGCGTACACTTTCTTGTTTCAATACATTTTGTTCTAAGTACATTTTGTGTTGTATTATTATTCGATGCATTAGTCAAGTTTCAACAATATATATAGAGCGTGTCCCAAAATAAAGTATACACTCTTTGAATCGTTATAACTTATTCTGTTTATGTATTTTGACTTGTAAATAAGATTAATACAAGCGAAAGAATTCATATTTAAAGAATTTGAGAGTAAAATATACAAAAACATAGAAAATTAGCTTTAATAAGATAAAAGCTACTTGGGGCAATGTCAGAAGATTCATATAATCATAAGTTCACATCAATTGATCAAATTGGTTGCCGTTCTGTTCAATACACTTTTCATATACTGAAGAAACAGACCTACAAACGACCAGTATCATTTTCTCTGGTATTTGAGTATATTCGTCTTTAATTGCTACTCTCATTTCAGCAATTGTTTCAGGTTTCCTGCTGTAAACTTTGTCTTTTAGAAACCTCCACAAAAAGAAACCCAAGGGTGTCAAATCTGGTGATCTAATTGGGTATTCAGCTGTCCCTCTTCTGCCAATCCGTCTGTTTTGCATATTTTCATGCGTATAAGTTCTCTCATCATGGTAATGTATTATTAACTATCAATATTTAAAGAGTCTATACATTATTTTGGGACACCCTGTATATATATGCATGCGTTAGTGTGTGTGTGTGTTGTTTGTATGTGTTTTATTAAATAATAGAAAAATACTGTATCTATTTTTACACTAGTCCTTTCCAGCTGTTTAATCAGTTTCTTGAAGTTAAGATGAAATTCATTAAGGAAGGCGCCGTAGACTACAACATTATCAAGACGTCTTACACTTCATTTGATGGATACAAGTTCTATTGCACAACATTTAAAAAAACATTCCTGTCAACCTTCACAATACAGGAAAATACTTGTTGACAACACCAATATACTACACCACGAAAATATTAAACAAAAATTTCAAATTCTTGAGGCCAGCTATATCAAAATCAACCAGCCAACATTAAACACAATTCATTACGAATATAGCAACAATATATTAGTCCATATAACAAACATTTAATGTCATTTTAAATTTCTACCAATTTCCGGTCGGCACCCTTATATTGAAATGTTTGTTTACCAAACTATCCCAAAGCTACAACGGATAAATTTAAAAATTTTAAGTAACTATAATTGACCGTGTTCACGCGTGTTTTTGGAAATCACCATCACAACAGAATGCTGATTTGATCGAAGTTACAATAAGTTTGTCTTTGTAATTTACTCCTGAAGAATTATCTTGAAAAAGATCGTAAGAACTTGGTTTAGAAAAATGTATACATGTATATATATGCTTTATACATATGGCTTAATATATATATATATATATATATATATATATATATATATATATATATATATATATACTGTTTATATATATATATATATATATATATATATATATATATATAATAATAAAAAGGACAAGTCTAAAAACTATAGTTAGTCGACGCGTTTTATCATCTGACGTATTTTATGTAGGCAAACGCGTTAGCTAAGTATAGTATTTCGGCTTGTTTTTTTCATCCGGAGTCTTTCTTTTACAGAGGCAAGCCATTTGGGAATATTTACACACACACACACACACACACACACACACACACACACACACACACACACACACACACATACACGCAGGCACACACAGGCACACACACACACATATATATATATATATATTCTTAACCAAAGTGTCAAGATAAGATATTCTAAAATATTATTGTATTTGGAAATTTAAACAATGGAGGACGTTACGTGTCATAATTTTACGGCGTAGAAGTTTCTTTTTTATTTAATTGATTTATATATTTTATTTTATTGTGTATGTTTTTTTTATTTATTTTGCTTATATATTAATTTGGTTTAATGATTAATTAATTTTAAAATGTAATTACCCGTTTCCTTTTATTTCTTTTTTTTTAGATTTTTGTAGTCAAAAGTGTTTATGTCCGCTTTTGTACAATTACTCTTGGAAAAAGCTTGTGTCTTTTTCTCTTCAACTATGGCTGAAATACAATCCATGCTGGGCTCACTAGCTTTATTTACCAACCAGTCTAGGAGAAAGAAAAATCTGATTTCAAAACTGAGGAAGGTTATTTGAAAACTTCGTGACAATACTTTAATAGTTCTCCCGTAAAGTGTGATTCGTTTTACTACTATACTCAAATCATATGTTCATTTTCTACCGATTCACTTTTAAGAAAAATTAACGACAGTCACTTAGCTCAATTTAATTTTAATGTTTTATTTTATACTTTTGTCAAAATACATTGTCAGGGAGGAGATTGTCTTGAAAATTTCTGGTTCTACCATTTCGAAAATCTGACCAAATAACTAAACATGAGAATTTATTGAGACAAGTCTACTTTTTCGCTTCTGTTGTTTTCATAATTTCTTTTTTGATAATGTCTTGTGGTTTAGAGATTAGGATCAATAAAAGATTAAAATAAACGACCATGACGGAAACGAAAATCATATTCAGAAATTGAATTAATGATTTCCTGGAAGAGAAAACACAGCAGGTGATCTATGATTGTATGCAAAATATCTGTCATGAGAATGGTTCGTTTTTTGAAACGGTAAATCTTTGTCGGGGGAGGTGATCGCTGGTAAGACGGTTGGGACGTTTTGAAAATATCTTTGTATAAAAGAACATGGAAATGTTGAGAACAGAATTAAAATTAAAATAAAATTATTCTTTTTGTTAGTCATATCATTAACGACGTTCAGTATAAAGTTTTGGCACACTTCTTATATACACACATGCATATATATATATATATATATATATATATATATATATATATATATATATATATATATATATATATATATATATATATATATATATATATAAATTCCCAGATCAATTCTGTGGACAAGACAGATTGGTATAAAAATTGGTCTTGTCCACATTTTTGATCTGGGAATTTAACTATATTGTCGACATGGAAAAAAATCCCTTACTATAAAGGCAATTTACATTAACCAGAAAAAGGCTTAGACACACGCGTCTATCTTTTTAAATTTGGATTTTTTAATGTAACTAAAACAACAAAAAACATTTCGATTTCATTTTTTCATTTGATACCAATCTGTCTTGTCCCCAGAATTGATCTGGGAATTTAACTATATATATATATATATATATATATATATATATATATATATATATATTATATTATTATTATTTTTTTCTCTCCGTGTCGACAATATAGTTAAATTCCCAGATGAAAATAATAATAATAATAATAATAATAATAATAATAATAATAATAATAATCCCTTACTATAAAGGTAATTTACATTAACCAGAAAAAAAGGCTTCGACAAAAGCGTCTATCTTTTTTAATTTTAATTTTTAATGTAACTATAAAAACAAAAACATTTCGATTTCATTTTTGCCTTGAAAATGTCGGAAGACGAAACGCGTCGGCAAAATGTAAGATTTTTTTCTAATTGTCATTTCATATATTCAATTACATGACAAAATTGAAATAGTTCAAGCCAGTTTTTAAAAGTTTCTCGTTACTTAACTTTTATATCAATTATAAGAACTAAACCCTTGAACCAAAATTAGCTTGAAAATCAGAGAGATCCATTATTTCTTTTTTTTATGGATGACCATATTTTAGTAGACGCCCTGTATATCTTTTCTTTTTTTTTTTCACCAATCTGAAATTTTGAGTTACTATAGTTTTATAGGGTTTTGAAATCTTCACGGTATTAATTGTTGCTGAAATTATCGCTAACATTTTATTGGGATTTACAAAATCTATATTTCTTCCAATTTCGGAAACCAATCGGTGAAATTAGAATAAGCTGATTTGTTTGGAAAAATATTATGACAAAAAGCCTACTTTGATAATTTCGTTAAGTTAATTTTATAGAACTTCACGGTAAACAATATTTTAAGAAAACTTCTTTTTTACCTTTTTAGCAGTGAAGAATAATTTCTTAGGATTTCTTACTCTTGAATTATGTTTTAAAATGGTGGGGGGATTTGTACGCTAAATAATAAAACTCTTAATTCCCCACCCGCACAATTAATGAAAATTTATTGTACTAATATACGCACTCTGGTAAAAACAACTGTAGTTTGTACCCACTTCCCGCCAAATTTGTTTTCTATCCATCAATGTATAGCTATTTGAGTGGGTGTGACGGATGGGTGGACGGAGTAACGGAAGTTGCAGAATTTTATATGTAGAGATGTGGAAATAAATAATTTTTTATGTAATAAATATTTAAAATACAGTCTTTTTGTTTTAGGTTATCTGGAAATTTACAAATCGATGTTTGGATGCACAGTAATAATGAGCATATCTGATGGTGTACACAAACAAACTTTATGCATATATATATATATATATATATATATATATATATATATATATATATATATATATATATATATATATATATTATATATTAGTAGTAATAATCTTATAAGAAATTATACTAGTCAGGAAAACCTTCGGTGTCTTGATTTGCAAATAATCAAACCAATACCAAAAAGGAAAAAAAGGTACAAAAAAAAAAGGAAAGAACCAAGAATATGTACGTTAGCCGAAAATAATCGTCTAGCCTGCAAGTCCAAAGCCCAAAGAAAAAACCTATACGAGTAAGCAAAATAACTAAATAAAGTGCTCAATACAATGAGTAGAGCAGACCTAGTTAAACCTAGAGAGACAGACAAACCTACCAAGGTTTCACCTAGGCGGATTGTCAGGGAAGCCAGGCTTCCCTGACGATCCGCTTAGGTGAAGCTTTAGGGCCAGAAATAAAGACACAAGAGAGGAACTGAGTGAAACAAATATATTAACAGTAATACAAACATATAGAAACGAGAGTGTTACAGCAAGAATGTTCGGTCCGACTGTCAGAGGTGGCTACTGGAAACTTCTCCCGTCAAAAGGCAGTACCTGCTCTTATTTATAGGTGGGAGAGTCCATGCGTGTTTTGGTAAATTACCATAACAATATACATATATATATATATATGTATATATATATATATATATGTGTGTGTGTGTGTGTAAAAGAAAAAACGAAATATAATTATAATATATTGCACGTATAGAGCTGGTGTTAATAAAACAGTGCTTGATGAAATAAAACAGAGCTATTAAGTATATATATATATATATATATATATATATATATATATATATATATATATATATATATAATCCCTTATCGTTAATACGACTCTGAGTTTCATGCATGACGCAATCATGTAAAAAGTAAATTCAATTTAATAAAACTATCTGGTTATCGCAATGTTGGCGCAGTTATATTATTATATTCTGGGATGAAATCTAATTTTTAATTTGAAAAAAATATATTTGTCATTTAAAATAAAATTTATATATATATATATATATATATATATATATATATATAAATACAAATAAATATTATTTTTTAAGCGTAATTGGAGAGTACTTATTCTTTAAAAAAAGATTTACATTAAAAATTAATCTGGATCAACGTATTTGAGCAGATATTTATTTTTATGCCTACATGTAACCATCGATTCATTTATCTTGTTTGTTAAGTGTTTTAAGATAACTAAATTTTCAGCAAGTCATAATTTACATTTATCGCCTTTATGGGTTATTAATACAATTATAAAATTGCCAGTGCTATCTATGTATTATATTGAGTAAAGTCATTCGATTACGGTAGAAACGAAATTTCCAAGGAACCAAAATAGCTCAGTATACAATATTATCAATCATACATTGACTATTTAAGGGATAGATGATGTTTTCGACTGTTGCATTTATTTAAAAAAAAAATTAAATTTGTTGGAACTATATTTATTTAATATCATGTTATGTAGTGATATAGATTTATCGATATTAATAACGCAGCTATGGATGATCATAATATTATTTTTGTTAAAAATCTTATATATATATATATATATATATATATATATATATGTGTGTGTGTGTGTTTGTGTGTGTGCGTGTGTGTGTATGTATACGTGTGTGTGTGTATGTGTGTGTGTGTTTTGTTAAAAGTGTATTGTGGATATTTCTCTTGCATTTTCATCATTTCCTTACATGTTTCCTGTTCATGTCTTTGACAAATTCCTAGCAACATTTTTTCTAGCATCAGAAAATTGCCTGAGATGTGCTCACTGCAAAAACGCTTATCGAAAAAAAATTTCTTGATTCAATTTTCATTTCAGAATAGTATTTCTCTCCCTTTTTCTACCTTTTTTTTCTACTAATTATTATTATTATTTTTTTTTTTTTTACAAAAACGACATTTACATCTGTAGTAAACCAAATATAGGAATTTGTCTTAAGAAACAGACACTGGATGGGTAAAATTTTACGCTTTACCTATTCAGCTATATTGATTTTCCAAGCGTAGCTTAGATGTGGCACAAGGCCGAAAGTAGGGGGTACCTAGTGAGGATCGAACTCACTACTTAGTCGTAATTGTTCAAGCTTACTAACCATTATACCACCTCGAGGTGCCCTCTGATTTTCTAAGCCATTATACCGAACTCTCTTAGTCGTGATTGTTCTAGTGCCCTCCTCCCTCGGTTTTCTAAGCGTAGATGTGGCTTAAAGATGGTGCACCCAGTGAGGATCGAACTCACAAGTCGCCGATACCACCTCGAGGTGCCCTCTGATTTTCTAAGCGTAGCTTAGATGTGGGTACCCAGTAAGGATCGAACTCACTACTTAGTCGTGATTGTTCTAGCAAGACCAGCTTGCTAACCATTATACCTCCTCGAGGTGCCTTCTTAATTTCTAAGCATAGCTTAGATGTGGCACAAGACCGAAAGTATGGTGCACCCAGTGAGGATCGAACTCACTACTTAGTCGTAATTGTTCAAGCTTACTAACCATTATACCACCTCGAGGTGCCCTCTGATTTTCTAAGCGTAGCTTAGATGTGGCACAAGGCCGAAAGTATGGGGTACCCAGTAAGGATCGAACTCACTACTTAGTCGTGATTGTTCTAGCAAGACCAGCTTGCTAACCATTATACCTCCTCGAGGTGCCTTCTTAATTTCTAAGCATAGCTTAGATGTGGCACAAGACCGAAAGTATGGTGCACCCAGTGAGGATCGAACTCACTACTTAGTCGTAATTGTTCTAGCGAGACAAGCTTGCTAACCATTATACCGCCTCGGGGTGCCCTTTGAATTTCTAAGCGTAGGTTAGATGTGGCACAAAGCCGAAAGTATGGGGTACCCAGTGACGATCGAACTCAGTATTCAGCCTAATTGTTCTACGGAGATAAGCTTGCTAACCATTATGCCACGTCTAGATGCCTTCATCTATTCAGTTATATGCCATTGAATGCTGGGTAATCTCTACAAAGATAAAGGAGCGAACTGAAATGACAGAAATATGCTAATAACGAAGAATATTGAGAAGGTCAAAGACAAATCCAGTGAGCCTCGAGGAATTTTTAAGGTAATTAGTAAGTATGCGGCAAAAATACCTTCCACATTTTAAAAAGACCAAGGTAACTTCTACTAAAATAATTATTTTCCTATTGTTGATAAAAAGAGCTACGTTTTTTTTTTATCAATTTTGTTTTACATAGTGACATCCCTTCGCCATACACTGTTGTAGACGATATCTAAAGTTTTCCATCACCCAGAACATATTTAGGAGACCTG